GGACAAGCAAGAAATATTAAGAGTATACAAAGCAACATAACTACAGGTGTAACAGACCTTTTAAAAATAAGAGACTGCTGTGGACAACTTTATAGAGGTGAATTTGAAAGCTGATATAAAATGAAAAATATGTTAGAAAAACATAAATCACTAAAGTTGATTCAAGTAGGAAAAAATTCTATATCATTCTATTACCATGAAAAAAAATTGATTTAGTAGTTAAAAATCTCTAACATACACACAAAAAACCACTCAGCTCCAATATTTTTTGGTAACTTTAAGGTATTTTGCCATTTTCATATGTAAATTATTCTTGCCAGAAAAATAGGGAATATTCCTCAACTCACTTTTATGAAGCTCAGATAACTTTGACACCAAAGTGTCAAAGACCCAGATAGTACAGGGAAGAGCACTTGCATTTCAGTCTTACTTATGAACCTAGACACACAATTTGTAAACAAAGTGTTGTTAATGTTATCCCGCCATCTATAAAAAATGTTACGACATCACGGCCAGGTCAAGTTGATCCCAGGAATAGAGGTTGGTTTAACATTGGAACACCCATTTATAAAATTTACCTGATTAATAGATGAACAGGGGAGGAAATGCACATGATACAGAGTAAGTCTTTTAATGAATTTAATACCCTTTCATATTAGAACTATGGAGATAAAACTATTTAGCAAATTAATAATAGGAGGAAACTTCAACATAGCACTTACCCAAATCCCACACCAAGTATTATACTTTGAGGTGGTCAGCACAGAAGTGGACGGCGGCCCTAATTCCAGAGGAAGGGAATGGAGCCTTCAGAGGGAAGAGATTTGTCAACGTAGGGGTTGCGTGAGATGCAGGGAGCCTCTTCTATAATTGATCTGCTGTCCTTGGTGCTTACGAAACACCCTCAGTTCAGCCTGGAACATGAGTGGTGCTATTTACTTGAGACCACCCCAATTTCTGTTACTAATTGGGAATTACTATACTTAGATTTTCCATTCTCTCTTAAAGCTCTTTTGAGTCACATCAACACTTCCTGTCTCTTGTTTGTTTAGAACTAAAGAGTTATTATGTCCTGGATTGGAGCAACTGCTAATAGATCAGATGACATGGTGCGGTTAAGGCAGTAGTAAGGTGGTGTGTGCAGTGCACTTTGAATTCAGCTTGAGTTTTGAGGGAGGCAAGCCTGTTGTTTTGTTCCAGGTATTAGACATTCATTTTGTAATTTTCTTATTCTGTGAATGGGAGTTTAAGTTTTAAACATTCAGGAAAATTTAAAAAGCATGAAATGAGATGCTTTGGAAAAAATTGCTCCTAAGAAAACTATATCAAATGCACATTTGATGGAAGATTCAGACTGACTTTGTGAAAGTGGAGCATAGGCAAGCTGTGATTGGCTGAGAGGGCCATGTCGCAATGCTGGGCAAACTTAAATAGGATGGACTTACTCATAGTAGATAACGTGGCTCAAACTACCTGTACCCTCTGGATTTGCATTTCAGCTTAAATCGCTGTATATCTACTTTCTGAGTCTGACCCAGGTGTCTTCCTCTGATCAGCTGTTTCCCTCACTCGATGGAGTTTTTCAGCGTCTAGGGACCATGTCTCATTCATCCCTGAATTCCATATGCCCAATAAAAGGCCTGCAACTCCATCTGTCCAACTGCATCTATCCAGCTATCTATCTGGCTTTCCACCCATCCATACATCTTCCGTTATCATCATCTATAAGTGAAATGCCTATATGCTTCTGGCCAAAAAAGCTGTTTGAGAGAAAACAGTGAAAAGACTTTGTGCAGGCATACTTGTAGGAAACTGAGGCAGAATCCCATGTGGCTAGGTTGGTTGTGAGCCTAACATGACCAAGGCTTTGGCTGGAATAGCATTTACTATGTTAAGGAATTAAGGTTGACTTTATAAGGCCAATAAAAAAGCCCTTTGGAAAACTGGCCAGATACCATGAGTAACCTTTCCTGATCTGTGGTAAGTAATGAAGGTTGCTTGCTGACAGGTCTGGGAATGGAAATGTTCTTGGGGACCTCAAGAGAAGAGGAATTTACCCAATGCATACAGGTGTATAATGGCACAGATGAAACTTGGGCTCGTGAAAGACTTTTGAGAAGTGCAGCCTGAGAATTCCTTATAAAAGGTTCCAGCAAAAACCCCCTGACTTAAGGCCTACATGGGAGCAGAGGTTTGCACACAAATTCCTGTATGCCCAAGAAGTTTCTTTATGCCTTGTTTAAAGATCTGAAGTAACAGCCTCCAAATGGTAAGGCCAGCAAAGGCAGGTATTCCACCTACCTTGTTCCTCCATAGCCTCAGGTGTCATCAGATAAGAACAAAGAAGTAATGGCTAACAACATCTTCTCCATTAAGTTGTGTTAAATTGGGTTATATTGAAAGGGTTGTCAAAAGGTGTATGTTGAGTGGATTATTGGAAGCTAATCATGGGGTAGTCACATGATGTTTAAATGGATCAATGAGGTCATTGCTGTATTGTGCACATGTATAAAATTTCCTATATAAACCAACCGCAAATAAAGAAGCTCACCATTTTGCCTGAGTGAGCAGATGGTCACCTTTATTTAAAACACAATTTCAATAAGCATGCTTATTCTCCACAACATCGCTTTTCTGCGAGACCCATATGGCAACAATCATCCATCTGTTCATTCATTCTCTACACCCCTGTGCAGTGCATCCTAGAGGAGCAGAGCTGAGGGGAGGCCCAGAATCGAGAAACCCGAGATCACTCCTGCCCATCTCTTGTGCAGCTCTATAGTTTCAGGTTTACTTTAGACCCCCAGAGCCTGTTACCTTATATATAAAATGAGGTAACAATAAATTCTACTTGTTACTTGTGAAGATTAAAGAAATTAATTCTTGTGCAAATACTCTGAATGAAATTTGGCCCAGTCCAGGCAGTCAGTAAATGTTAACCACTGCTGCCATACCACCAGCATCATCATTGCTGTTACTGCTTCCATTAGCCCGTTGCTGTGCTCAGTGCAGGGAGAAAGGTAAACAAGTCTGCCCCAGTACCAGAGCCTTGCCCTTGGCATTTAAAATCTAGTGAGGAAAGTGAGGAAAGAAAGCATTAAAGAAGACCATTCCAGAATGAAATTTTGAAATACAGATGTGCTAAATGGCAGGCAGGTGTGGGGGTATTGGAGGAGCTTTGGGGATAGAACTAAAGCTCTGGGAGAATTTGCCAGCAGCAGATTATAACTGTGGGATGACATATTTCTACTTTCCCCTCCCACACTCCCTCCTTCCCTTCCTTCCTCCCCTTTCTCAGCAGGGTCTCATTCTGTCACCCAGGCTGGTAAGGGCGTACAGGGGTGGATCATAGCTCACTACAGTCTTGAACTTCTGGACTCAAGCAATCCTCCCACCTTGACCTCCTGAGTACCTGGCACTTTAAATTCATGACACTAAGCCTGGATAAGTTGTCATTATTTTTTTAGACACAAGGTGTTGCTGTGTTGCCCAGATTTGAACTCGTGACCTCAAGCGATCCTCCCACCTTGGCCTCCCAAAGTGCTAGAATCACAGGCATGAGCCACCACACTTAGCCTTCTGCTTTATTTTCTGCTCCTAAATAGGGCTCATCTGGTACTAGAACAGCCAGATCTTTGTGCCCCACCATTTCTCTGCTGCTCATGACAGGCTTGGGCTGGGTGGCATGTCAATAGAAGTCTAGTGTCTGGCCTAGGCTCCTGGCCTGCTGGCATCTTGATGAACACACTGCTCGAAACTCTATGCTGGGTTATGTTTCCATGTGGTGCTATAGCCAGGGGAGGGTTGCAGTTCCCAGCCTCATTGTGTCAGGAGCCCTGCTCAGGAGCTTTCAGAGACTTCACAGGGCCCTGGGGACAGCACCCAGTGCTCGGCTTAGATTGAAGGCTCCAGGCTGCAGCCTCAGTTTATCTCTGCTGCTGTTTTTCTTCTGTCTTGTTCTTCAATTGCATCTGAGTCTTTGGCTTTGAGACCCCTTTGGGAGTTTAAAGCTTTGGCCCCTGCAGAAAGCAGGCCATTTGCTACATATTTTAGGGGGATCAAAGGCCACTCTCCCCTTATGAAATCCATCCAAGTCCTCTTAGTTCTAAACTCCAGTCCCATCCTCCACCCCTTCTGATAGTATTGACCAATCTGGTGAAAAATGGGTTAAATGTGCCTGCATTCTCCAAGGTCTGGGGCCCTCCTGTCTCCCTCCCTCATCCCTCTACCTTCCTCAACCCCCTAAGCAGGCTGTGGACAGCCCTTGTGCTGAGATTATCTAATTCTGGTGGCCTGAGAATGCAGAGGTCCGGTGTTTGGCCAGTAAGAGGCAGAGTAGCCCACTGGTTAAGAACAGAAATCCTGGAGCCAGCCTGTCTGGCCTCAGATTTCTGACTGTGCCACTTAAAAGTTGTATCACCTGGTAAATTACTCTCTCTGCCTTTTCCTCATCTATAAAATAGGAGAAATGAGAGGCTGTGGTCTGAAGGGTTGTTATAAGTATTCAAGGAAATGCACGTATGTACTGTACACAGGAGAGCAGTAGCTGTGGCCGACCATGTTCCAGCTCAGCTTTCGCCAACAGTCGGTGCTCCTGGGTGCTCCACAGTACCAGCTGCCTAGTGCATTTCAAATGACGCAGCCTTGCCCTCCAGGAGCTCACATCTAGCACAAAGGTACAGAACAGCGATTTCTGGCCACTGTGGACATGGGGCACATACAAGGCGTGAAGACATGAGGAGAGGCACCGACATCTTTCAAGGGACTTAGGAGCCCTTCACTGAGGGGTCCTTCTTACGCCATGCACACAGGGAAAGACGCTGCAGGTGAAGGGAATGGCAGGTGCAAGGCCTCGCAGTGTGGTGTGGCCACATGGCACCGTATGGCACAGCTGGATAGGGGAGCCAGGCAAGCTCAGTTGTGACCCAAAGGAGGTCAGTTTTGTCCTGTGGTCCACCTGCCTTTGCAGCAGGCCTTACCACTGAACCCTCCTTGTGCAGGAGCTCCAGGAGCTGGAGAGGAAGCTGGAGGACCAACTGACACAGCGGGAAGCGGCCGAGCAGCAGCAAGCCCTGGCCAGCTGGCAGCAGTGGGTGGCTGATGGGCCAGGGCTTCTGAATAAGCCAGGGGAGACCGATTCTGAAAGGCAGATATCCAGTGTCCTGCAACAAGCCCTGAGCATGGCCCAGAAGCTCCTGGAGCACCACCAGCAGAGGTAGGCTGCTTCCCCCAGGGCATCTGTGGTGCGGGCCCCTGCAGGCCTGGGGAGCCCACCCAGCCCTCAGGCCCCTGTCTGCAGTGTCCTAGGGCTCAGGATTTGTAGCATCTTCTTCCCTGACGTCTTTTCTATATATTTTTTATGTTTTAATGTCATGGAAGTTTACCATACACAATATATATTTTTCCCATGAACATTTTAATGAGGGGTTGAACATAAGATAGAAAAACAACATTCTGATTGCTTTTTTGTTAAGACACAGACTTTTCTTCAGACTTTCACACAAGGCAATGAAGGAATAACGTTTAACTCCTAAATAACTACACATTGGCCACAGAAAAAGGCATGTCTCCAAATACCTATCCTAGTTACCAAAGGTTCTGAAACAGCCTTGTCAGACTCTCAGGGATTGGCTTGTTTTGATTTATTTTGGGATCAATTCAACTCACACTTAAACTCTGCTGCTTTTAGAGGCTTGGGGATGCTGGGGACCGGCAACAATCTGACATGGCACTTGGAACAAATGCTACTTACAGGGGACAGGAGGGCAGTTGGTGTGAAGGTCCACATACTTGCTTCTCTGGGTTGGTGTGGGCAGCCAGAGGCCACTACATCTGTAGGGAGCCTTGTTCACTCTCCATGGAGGGACATGTGACCCAGCAGGTAGGCTGGGATTAGGCCTCTATAGCCACCTGACTCTCCGTAATAGAATCCCTTGTCATCCACAGGCCTGTAGACCCTGACCACATCTCCCGCCTTCACCACCAGCTTGCCCTTTGTTTGGCCTCCTTCCTCCCCCTGCCCCACGCCCCTCCCCCACCCCCAGCGCTAGGATCATAGTCTAGAGCTGCCATCATGGTCTTTGGAGTCCACAGTGGGGATCCCTGGAGTGCCCTTGGCGAATGGGGGTGGTTCCCTGGGGGCTGGTGAGTCCTCAAGGTGGGCCACATTTGTGGGCCCCTGTGCCCACGAATGCCACTGTGCCCACAAATGCCACCTTTCATCAGTCAACTCCTCACCCTTCTCTACCTCATCCATGAGGTGTCCAGGGATGGTGCCCATGTGGCTCCTTGCACTTATTATGGTAGAAGTCATGGGGTCCTGAGAGCCCCACATTCTCAGCAACTGCCCTTTCTAGAAGGCCAGCTCCTCCTTCACACCCTCAGGGTTGGCAGACATCATCAGGGAGTTATAATCAAAAAGGTCCACAAAGACCCCGGCTGGAGGCTCAGCTCCCACCCCTGGTTGGAGGGGGCCAGCCCTGGACATCATAGTGACTTGGCTGGAGGGAGCAGGGCATAGCTTCACGCTGAGTTCATGGAGCTGGCCCTCTTGCTTGCTCCCTGAAGCCTGTCCTCGCCTGCTCTAGGGCCTGAGCTCCTTCCTCTGCTCTCGTTCCTCTAAGGGCCACAGATCCAAACACACTGCCTCCTCCAAAATGTCACAGAAGTCAGATGCGTGTTCCTGGCTGGTGCCCAGCTGGGGAGGTATCTCGCTTTTGCCTAAGGGCCTTTCTCAAGAGCAGGCTTTTCCTGACATGGTTCTTTCCAGGGCCCACACTCGGGACGAATCTCAGAGCAAGGATTTTTCTGGTCCATGTGCCTGTAGCAGTTTTCTGTCCCCCTAGGCTGGATGCTGAGCCAAGGTGGCCTGTGATTCTAGGGACTCAGGTCCTTCATGCAGCCTCCTTGGGCCTCTGTGAGGCCCTGAGCTTGGATGCCAGCCCCTGAACTAGGACATTGTCCTTCTGAGCTTAGGTTGGACATTAGAGACTGCATGCTCAGGGATTCTTCAGGAATGCTTCTAGGAACGTGGCCTGGGACTCCCCACAGCTTCCAGGGATGTGGGGACTGGTCTTGGCACCCAGAGGAGCCAGCGTCTGTGTCTGCTTCTGAGGCCAGATGAGGGGGGGGGGCTGAAGTGTAGCTAAAGAAAGGGGTCTCCAGTGACTGGGGACGGGGGCAGCAGTTCTCAGGGATCCGAGCTGGCACTGAATCCAGGGACTCTCCACGGAGTGACATGGTTCTCGCTGAGACATTGTGGCACATCAGGGGCACCTACAGCTGAGAAAATTCCAACAGGGTCCTCCCAGTGGTAGCATCAGCCACCTCCAACACCTTTAACCCATCAGCATACACAGCATAGCCAGTGACTTGGACTCCATTAGAAAACCCAGCTGAGTCGCTGGTCATGGGGAGCCAGCTGACTACCAGGAAGCTTGGTGAGGTGTGTCGTTCCACCAGCACGTCCAGAAGAGGGTCAGGAGGTCCTGCCAGAGGTGTGTTGAAGGTGATGGTGGAGGACACTGTTCTTCAGTGCACCTGCAGCAGGTCCCCCTGGGTGTGGTCCTGCACAGCAGGAGGTAGGCTGTGGAAGGTGTAGCAGCCCACACCCATGGGGGTCAGGGCATGGTCTTGGTCATTGAGTTATACCATGTGGGGGTGGCTGCTACTGCCTTAGACCCAAATGATTTTGGCTGATGTGGCTGTGACACTAAGCAGCTATAGTTGCATGGAGGCTACACAAGCAGCCTATTGGCACATAGAAAGGATCTGGAGAAACCTTGTTCCCCAGTGCTGTGTGGCAAGCCCAGCTGGTAGGCTTCTGTCTTTGTATGCAAGATGTCTATTACTAACTCCGCTGTGGAGCCCATCCTTCCCATCTGGCGTGGCCTGCTGCCCACCACTCCCTGGGCTTCCCCAGGTAATAAGCTGTCTTCCTTTTCAGCTTTGCCCTGCTGAGTTGGGAGTTGAGAGTGACTAAGGTCAAGGAACTTGGGAGGCAGGTAGCTTGAGATGTTGTTGTCTGGAACCTGCTCCATCAAGTTGGAGGGCACCAGACCCCGCTGGCCATCCTCAAATTCTTTTTCATAGAAGCCATCCTCAACCATTTCACCAAAGATATATACACAGTCCCCAGATCTGAGGGGTAGCTCACCCTCAAGGTGCTCATTGGGCCCCTCAAATGGGTTGTAGTTATATTGAGTCAGGAAAATCTTGAGCTTTGGGGCAGCAGGAGCATCTGAGCCTCCCACTTCTGGGAGGCCCTGGATCATCCACCTCAGTGGTCATGTCCACATCCACAGTAGTGTAAGATGGCACAGTGGCCCACACGGATTCCACCTTGGAGGAGGAGTTTGACTGGGAGCTGGTTTTCTTGGCCTGAAGCCTGGAGTCCAGAGGTAGGCTTGCAAGAACTCTGTCTGGCACATGGAGGGGCACTGGTTGGCTCCCCAAGGGCAGCGGGGCTGACATCACTAGAGGCTTCCCTTTTCTTCTGTTGGTCTCTGCTGGGCTGTGACAGTGTGTGATCTTCAGGCCCTCCCTGGAACTTGGGCCTTCTGCTTTTCCTTTCTGGTTCGGGTCTCCAGGGTGGCTACCCTAGGCTGTTCTGCAGGGTGGTGGGGCTGACACTGCAGTGCCTGTATCTCCTTCTGGACAGCAGGGAAGTCGCACAGAACCTTCTGCCAGTTGTGTCCCAGCTGCTGCTGCCTTTCGTGTCACTGCCTGCCTGTGATATCCACTGGCCACCTGCTGGAGCAGCTCCTGACAGGCCCAGGCCAACTGCCCTCAAATGTTGCTGTTCCCAGCTTCCTCCTTTCGCATCCAGTTGTTCTAGGCTTGGAGCCGCTGGTTCTCCTCGGCCAGCCAGGCGCCCTTGCACAGAGCCACCTGCCACCTGCGTCTGTGCCTCTGCCTCCTCGTAGCGCTCCCAGCTTGCCTTCAGCACCTGTACCTGGTGATGCACCTCCTCACAGGCTCTGGCCTCTCTCCTCTACCCAGGCACCACCTTAGCCCTGCTGCAGCATCAGTTGCCTCTGCAGGCATGACACTTCCCCCTGGGACTAGCGCAGCAATAGGCTAAGTCTCTGTTGTTGAGCTACTGGACGCAGATGGCACCCTCTTCAGGATGCAGGTCACACCCAGGTCCTGAGGCAACATGCCCCTGTAGCAGGTGGCACTCCTGCCTTAGCTCTTTCATCTGATTTTCCTGGGCAAGGACTATGCTCTCCTGCTCAGACAATCCTGGGCTGGGCATGCTGGTGGGCACAGGCCTGGCACAGCTCCAGGACAGCAGGGCTCTTACAGGGCACAGGCACACTCAACCGCCCAGAGGTTGGTGCCCTGAAGTAGATGGGTCTGGTCTTCCAGGTGCCATACGAGGCCCACCAGCTCTGCGTGCTTCACCTTGAGCTGTTTTACCTTCTGTCTGCTTGGTGGGGAAGCCTGTATGCCCACTGCAGGTCAGAGCAGCCATGTGCTTGCACCTGCAATGCCTCGGCCAGCTCTGAGTTCTGCTTCACCAGCTCGTGGTGGTCCAGGCCCGGGATGAGGATGTCAGGGCTTCTTCTCTCTGCAGGCCTCTAGGTTTCCTGGGTGCAAATGGTGGGGGTGGCAGGGGTGGCAGTGGTGGCAGCAAGGAGGGCTCTGGGGAACCAGGAATGGAGTGTTGGATCAAGAGGTCCACTCATTGTGTCATGGAGGCCTTGGGGCTCTCTGGGTGCTATGGAGCTAGTAGAAACCCTCTGGTCCTAAGGAATCAAGGAGGCAGGCACATGTGGAGAGCAGGCCACTTGGGGAGCTGGAGCACATGGAAGACATCAGGTTGAGGGAGCGGTCACAGTCACTGGCACTTGGGCTGTTGGAGAGATTCGAGTGGACAGGTGGGCTTTGGGGTGTGATAAGCACTGGAGATCTGGAGGAGTGGCTCTTCTGAGCACTGGGCTGAGATGTTGGCAGGTCTGAGCAAGGCGGGGTGCCAGTGGAAGTCCATACATAATATTTTTAAACTTTTTATTTTGAAATAATTATAAACTCACAGGAAGTTGCCAAGATGGTAGGAGAGGTCCAGTGCACCCTACAGCCAGTGCCCTCAGGTTGGCCCCACCTTACATAATCACAGTCCCTAACCCAAACCAACACGTAACACTGGCACAAGATAGTGAACTAGACCTCAGGCCTTATTCTGGTTGCACAGTGAACATAGTGGTTTATAAACTGCTTTGTAAAATCATAGGACACTCAGGACCCCAATCTTCTTTTTCATTCTCTGCATTCTTTTTCAGTTAACTTTAGGCAACTAGCTATGGCTGTGGCATTATGAACTCTTGCAGAAACATAATATTTAATAGCTTCATAATTTTCCATGTGAATATAATATTGATATTAAAAGGAGAGGATGCAGACACTTTATACTGTGTGATTAATTTTTTAAGCACACATCCAAATTGCTTAGAAGAAAATACACCAAAGTACAATAGATATGATTTCTGGGTGGTAAGATTATGGGTGGTTTCTGTTTATTTGATTGTGCTTTTCTGTGTGAATACAACATCAAAAAACAATTCAGTTCCATTGAAGTAATTGCTTGAGGGGAGTCTGTTCTGTGTGGCCAGAGGGAAATGCCCAAGGCGTTGGCTGGGCTTAGCCTGGGATGTTAGGCCTATAGTATCCACAGGCTCCCTGAGGGAGACTGCTTATGATCAGGCTTTTGTGCTTGCAGAAAGTTTGGGTTGTGTTAGCCAGAAAGAATGTGTGGTAGATTGTGGATTAAACAGACCTCCTTGTGTGGTAGCCAGAAAGCCTCGTGACTTTGAAAAAGCGACCCCAGTCTTGAGGTTAGAGCCAGGGCCATACTCCGAAAATCATTCTGGGTCTGCTTCTCTCTAAGGCCACATGGTGGATGTGGCCCTCAGGGCTTGGTTGTGGCCATGAGGAGTGAGATCACAGGTCACCCTACAAAAGCACAGTGCAGTCTCCCTGCAGCTCCCATGGAACTTCTCACTTTGGGGAGCTCCCCCTCTGAAGGAGCCTCCTTGGTGCATTATTTGTGGAGTGGTTTAGGCAGGAGGAGGAAAGCAGACCTCCCCGCCACCTCTTTGTGTGGATATATCATATATATTTTAAATTATGTGGCTTAGATGAGAGATTCTTTGTTATTTAAATAACCAACTAATCTTTCGGTATCACTTTATAGCAAAGCTGGACTCATATAGACTTTATTTTCACTCTAGTTTGAGAGAGGAACAACAGAACAGTGTTGTGCTGGAAGACTCGCTGGAAAACATGGAGACGGACACCTTTGTGACCCTGTGTGGCCAGGTGAGGAGACGCCAGCCATGTTTGCGCCTGCCCATGTGTGCACATCTCTTCACCCTTTCCTCACCCGTAGGAGGAGCTGAGAAAGCCAAGCCCGGGCACTGTGAGCAGATTCAGGAAAGGCCTGAGCCCAAGCCCAGTGTGCAGGGGACACTCAGTCAGTGCTCAGGGCAGCAACCACAGCAGCACCCCATTGGCCCAGTTGGTTTCTTTTCTGCAATTTGATAGACACCCTCCACCTTTTCAGTCTTTAATATGTGGGGCAGGTTCCACCTGGAACCAAGTTGGTAAGAGAAAACTGGGCCAGGAGATGCATTTGCAGCCGTGCTCCAGCTCCCAGAGTTGGGACTGGCTGGCTGTCCTTGCTGGTCCTTAGCCAGAGTGCAGTACCACCCCCCTTCTGGGACAGAGCCCTGGGGTGTGTGCCTGGGACCTGACTACATCCCAAGATGGGGTTCCTGCACCTCCCAGTGTCTATAAGTGCCAGGAAACAGGACTTTCCACCGCAGTTTATGCAACTTTGGTCTCTGGAGGCAGGTGCTCACTGATCCAGTGGTATCAGGGTCATGTTCTATGAGTTTTTCCAGAGTCTATGTCAGAGCAAGAGGTAGAACAACAGCCACTTGCCTGTCCTTTCTCATCAGGGAAACAAATGCCCCCAAGTCCCCACAGCAGATTCCACTCATACCTGAGGAGAACCGGCCATGGGGCCTGCTGGTTGTGAGGCAGGCTCCTGGTCAAACACTTACTCCCCGGCCTGGGGAGGGAGCCAGCAGGAAGTAGGGGCTGGGAGCTTATTTGGGTGTCCCATGTCATGAATTGGCCACGGCTGTCCATGGGCAATCCAGCTTCCCTGATGGATCGGGTTTCCTATTGCTGCTCTGACAAATGACCACAAACAGCCGCTAACACAGCACAGGTGACAAATGACCACAAACAGCCGCTAACACAGCACAGGTGACTGCCTTCCATTCTGCAGGTCTGAGGTCCAACGTGGGTTTCTCCAGGCAAGGTGTTGGCAGGTTCACGTTACCCTGGAAGCTGTAGAGGGAGAATCTGTTTCCCGCTCACTCAAGTGACTGGCAGGATTTGGCTTATTGCAGTTGCAGGACTGAGATGCTCATTTTCTTGCTGGCTGTGGTAAAGGGACATTGCCAGCTTCTAGAGGCACCTGCATTCCTTGCTCATGGCTCCCTTCTTCATCTTTAAAGCCTGAAATTCTACATCTCTCTGGCCCTTCTGTCACTGTTACATGTCTCTCTGGCCTGCCACAGCAGGAGGGGGCTCTAGTTTTAAGGACTCACATGATGATTAGGTTGGACCCACCTGGAATATTCAGGATAACCCCACTGTCTCATCTTAGTCCCATCTGCAGTTCCCTTTGCCATGCAAGGTAACATATTCACAGTTTTCAAGACTGGACACAGACACTTTGCAGAGGGAAGGTTAGCACAGGAGGTGGCAGTGGCAGTGCTGTTGCTGACTTGTTGCTTCTCTGATGTGAGAGCTGCCCTGGGCTTTGCAGGTATTTATAACATTGGCCACCTGCCTGTGAGTCCTGTGGAGAGAGCCCCTGCTGCTCATGGTCTCACTGCTGGGGGCAGATTTCTGTCCTCAACCCTTTATAGGCAGGTCCTAGGGAGCCCAGCAGAGCTAGGATGGGAACCCAAGTTCTTCCTGCTCCACGCTGTTGCAGGATCGCATGGGCTCCAAACAGGATGAGGGAGGCACCTGCCATGGCCTGAGACTCTAGTCCTTGAAGAACGCTGGGAATGAGGAATGTATCCCCATGTTATGAATAAAGGGACAAAGGCAGAGACCTGGTGAGGGCACAGGGCTGACTGCTGCTTGAGGGGGACTCAGGGTTCATCTGTGGCTTGATGGCTGCACCCCTGTGCCCTCCCAATTGATCCCTGCAGGGTGCAGAGAAGACGCCCCTTAGCCTGTGTTTCTGGGTCACTGAGTCGTTTCCCAGGCCCAACTTTGACTTTCCCCCTTTCTTCTTTGTTACTTTGAGGCTTTACAGAGAGCCAGTGTCACACATGGAATTTCTCCCAGGTTTGTGTCCCGACTGTGGGCTCATTTAGACTGAACTCCATGTCTCCCTTTGTTTCCGCTGCCATTCAGCATACCTAAGACTGGGTCATTTACAAAGAATAGAAATGCATTTTCTCACAGTTTTGGAGGTTGGAAAATCCAAGACCAAGGCACCTGCAGACTCAGTGTCAAGCGAGGGCTGCACTCTGCTCCTAAGGTGGTGCTTGTTGCTGCACCCCAGGGAGGGGAGGATGCCGTGTCCTCATGTGGCAGAAGGGTGGAAGGGCAAATGGCTAGTTCCCTTGAGCCCTACTGGCCTGAACACCTCCAGAAGGCCCCAACTCTTAATGCTATTGCATTTGGGATTAAGTTCTAATGTGAATTTTGTAGGGATTCACACATGGAAACCATAGTGCTCTGCTAAAGTATTGGCTATGTGAAAAACTCAATTCAAGTTGAGGGGCGGGGGAACAAGGGAATGGGGAGAGAGGAAGAGGGAGGAGGATGGGTGGGCTCCCACTTAATAGGGACTTAGGGTGTATGGCATACCTCTTGGGGGAAGGACATAATTATAAGAGGGATTCTACCTAAAAATGCAAACACTGGACTCAGTGCCTGTAGCTCAGTGGTTAGGGCTCTGGCCACACACACCAAGGAGGGCGGGTTTGAGCCCAGCCCGGGCCTGCTAAACAACAATGACAACTGCAACAACAAAACATAGCCAGGCATTGTGGTGAGTGCCTGTAGTCCTGGCTACTTGGGAGGCAGAAGCAAGAGAATTGCTTAAGCCCAAGAGTTTGAGATTCCTTTGAGCTTTGACACTACAGCACTCTACAGAGGGCAATATAGTGAGACTCTGTCTCCAAAAACAAGCAGACATTGTAACCAAATTCTTTATATCCTCAAATTAACCTGAAACAATTTAAAAAATAAAAAAAGAATTGGCTCTGAGGTGGGTAAATGCTGCCAGACTGGAAGCTCTGAGTAATGGAGACAGGTAGGGACGCTGTTCTCTCCGCCCACACTGCGTGCTTTTTGTAGCCCACTCATTGATGTCCACCCAACTGGATTTCTTCCTTCTAGCCCCTGGGTATTGGTGAGAGTTCTGGAGAAATAGAACCAAAGGGATTGTGTCTGTGTATAGAAATGATTTATTTAAGATTGGCTCGTGTGTTCATGGAGGTTGGTGAGTCCAAGTTCTACAGGGAAGGCCGGCAGGCTGGACACTTGGGAAGGAGTGACAGTTCAAATCCGAAGGCTGTCTGCAGAATTCCCTGTGCTCAGGGTAGTCAAGGCTTTTGGTCTATTCAGGCCTTCTGCTGATTGACGAGGCCCATCACATCATGGAGGGCAACGTGGGTTCCTTAAAGTCCACCAGCCTAAGTATTAATCTCATCCAAAAGACCCCCATGGAAACACCCAGAGAGTAATGTTCATGAAATATCCTGGCATAGCGGCCCATCCAAACTAACATATAAAATTAAACTACACTTTATTTTTTTGTACTATAGTAAAGAATAACCCTTCTCTCCTGTCCTCCCTCCTTCCCTCCCACCCTCCCACCTCTTCCTCCTCCTCTTCCTTTTTCTTCCTTCATCTTTATGTGGTTCAAGAGAGAATTCTACCGTGGTGTCTGCAGATGGCCACAATTATCCCGGAGTCTCCAGAAAGTAAAGGAGACCACGCTGTGAAGAGATGCAGGGGAAGGAGGGAGGGAGATGGCCCACTGGCCACTCTGGTCCTTGCAGTCTCCCTCCTCTGTGTAGACACCTGGCTCCCTGCGTTTATTTGTGGTCCACTGACTTCATCCTGCGTGCCTAGGTGAAGATACACTAGAAATGGGACGGTGATGGCAGAATTGGTTAAAACCAATGAGGGACCTGTTCCAGAATGTAGGAGTGGGGAAGGGCTGTACAGAGGCCGCATGAATGAGCTGGAGAAAGTTAGGCAGATGCAGTGTGGGGACACACATTCAGGTAGAAGGAGGCTCAAGGGAAGGGCTTCCCAGCCTGGGCATTCAGGGTACACTGAGTGGATCTGTGTTAGGGTAGTGGGAGACTGCAGAGGGGAGGGTGGGACATGGTAGGGGGTTGATGTTTGAAACAGCACCTTTCCCCTTTCCCGTCACTCTGCTGAAAGCAAGTGTCAAGGTCAGAAGTGGCCCCTGCTTCTCTCTGCAGTGCTTGGCTGCAGCCCTCCTCCTTCCTGAGCACATTCTCTCCTGGTTCCCCAAACTTGGTTCCCCACACCCGACACCTCTCCAGACCAGCCCCTTGCTGGATGCTCCCCATCACGGCTCCCAGGGGCTGAGCCTCAGTCCTGTTTCCTCCCCTGCATTCTCTTGCTGATGTCATCTACATGTTGTCACCCTGTGTCCCTCTGTCCTGCCTGGGCTTCATCAGGCCTCCCTCTGCCTGCTGTCATGTTTGAGGGTGCCTCCATCTGTCTCTTCACCTGACTGCAGCCCTCACAAAAGCAGGGACCTTGTTCCACTCACTACTCTGCCTCCAGTGCCTGGGACAGGTCTGGCACCTCCTGGGATGCCGTTGTAGTGTTAGTGGAATTAAAACATGAGTAGATATGCTAGTGACATGCAGTGGCAGGCTGCAGAAGCTCACCCAAAGGGGACCACATCCTAATCCCTGGAACCTGACAGAGTAACTTTACATGGCAAAAGGAACTTTGCAGATGTGGTTAAGGATCTTTGGATGGGGGGATGATCCTTGTGACCTTATAAGAGGATCAGAGGCAGAGAAGACAGTGTGACGAGCAAAGCAGGCACCGGAGGATGCCCTGTAAGCGGAGGGGAGGTGGGCACAAGCCCAGGAACATGGGAGAGACAAGGACATGGATTCTTCCAGTGCCCACACCTGATGTTAGCCCAGGGAAACGGATTTCAGATTTCAGTTTCCAGAACTAGAGGAGGGTAAATTTCTGTTGTTTCAAACCACAGGTTTGTGGTGATTTGTTACAGCTCTGTTCCTACTCATGTAAACACCACTACGGTACCCCCCAGCTCTATGAGTACCACACTTGGACGCTTTGTGAAAACAGAATTTCTTTTAAGTCAAGGTAACAGAAATTCAACTCAAACTGGTTTCAGCAAAAATGCAGAAGTATGAGCTAGGTGCAATGGCTCCGACCTATAATTCCAGCACTCTGGGAGGCCGAGGTTAAGAGGATTGCTTGAGCCCAGAAGTTTGAGACCAGCCTGAGCAGCACACTGAGCTCCCCTCTCTACTAAAAATAGAAAATTAGCTTGCATTCTCACCAGCAGTGTAGAAGTGTTCCCTTCTCTCCACATCCACACCAACATCTGTAGTTTTGAGATTTTGTGATGTGGGCTAGTCTTACTGGAGTTAGATATTATCTCAGAGTGGTTTTGATTTGCATTTCTCTGGTGCTTAAAGATGGTGAGCGTTTTTTCATGTAGGCCATGCACCTGTCTTCTTCAGAGAAGCTTCTGTTCAAGTCTCTTGCTCTCATACAAACGGGGTTATTTGTTCTTTTTGTTCTTTTCCTATTGATTAGTTTGAGTTCTCTGTAGATTCTAGTTATCAGACCTTTGTCAGAAGCACAACCTGCAAAACTCTTCTCCCATTCTGAAGGTTGTCTGTTTGCTTTACTTACTGTGCTCTTGGCTGTGCAAACACTTTTTAGTTTGATCAGATCCCAGTAATCTACTTTTGGTGGTGCTTCAATTCCTAGGGGGGGTCTTCCTCATAAAATATTTTCCATGGGGCAGCGCCTATAGCTCAAAGGACTAGGGCACCGGCCCCATATACTGGAGGTGGTAGGTTCAAACCCGGCCCCAGCCAAAAACTGCTATATATATATATATATATATATATATATATGTGTGTATTTTTCCCCCTTGGCCAATTTCTTCAACCGTTTTCTCTGCACTCTCTTCTAGTATATAGTTTCATGTCTTAAGTTTAAATCTTTTATCCAGTGAGAATCAATTTTTGTTAATGGTGAAAGGTGTGGGTCCAGGTTCAGTCTTCTACAAGTCACCAGCCAGTTCACCCAGCACTATTTGTTAAATAGGGAATCTTTCTCCCAATGCATCTTTTTGATAGGCTTATCAAAGATCAAATGATAAGTAGCTGGGTTCATCTCTTGGTTTTCTCTTCTGTTCCATATATCTACCTCTCTATTTTTGTCCCAGTACCATGCCGTTTGGATCACTATAGATTTATAGAATCGCCTGAAGTCTGGTGATGTGATACCTCCTGATTTCTTTTTATTTCTGAGTAGTGTATTGGCTATAGGAACTAATAGTAGACCTACCATTTGATCCTGCAATTCCTCTAGTAGGTATATACCCAGATGATCAAAAATCATTGTATGCTGAATGGCAGCGGAAACAAAGGGAGACATGGAGTTCAGTCTAAATGAGCCCACAGTCGGGACACAAACCTGGGAGAAATTCCATGTGTG